CCCCCCCCCTTTTTTTTTTTAAAAGGAAAAAGGAAAAGAAGCTATGTAGCTCCCCTTGTATTTATTGTACTTCCCCCACTCACTAGTTACTATGAGGATTAAAATGCCTTTCGCCATTCACTAACCGTTGACAGAGGGAGGACCTACTCCCTAACGATTGTTCGTTCTTTCTTTGCTGCCAAGTCATGTTTGCCAAAATGTCTTTTTTATGTTTTGTTTTTTTAACAACGGCCCTTTTACTCTGGGAGGCAGCAGTCGCGTTCGCCAACACCGGCAGGCTGACGGCTGAGAGAGCCATGGCCCACTCGTGAGTCAACACTAAAAGACAACGGATTTGCTATCATAAAAATGGACGGTCAAACAGCATTGATTGCTTCCTCGCGGAGGGATTGACTTTCAACACGCCGCTCGCGCATGGGGTCGTGCTGCACTACTCACCAAATGCTGTGAATGAGGGATGGATCTTCCGCCAGATCGTGGAAAGATGCACCCGCCATAGTTTGTCTTTTTCGCATTTGGTGAGTGCTCCGGCGCTATGTCTTCAAATTCCTGAAGATTGCAGTTTTCCCTCATCTCGGCGACGAGGAGGTCCCTGCAATCCCGCGTTCGTCCCACACAGAGAGAGAGAGAGAGAGAGAGAGAGAGAGAGAGAGAGAGAGAGAGAGAGAGAGAGAGAGAGAGAGAGAGAGAGAGGGGTATTCGTCGTCGTTACGCGAAGATCGGGCCCGTCGCTCCTTTTTCTTGTTTTGCTACATATTAGCATTTCTTCTCTTTCTCTCGCATGTCCTCTGTGTCAATTTCATCCCTCTACTTCATTGCTCGTTCTCTCTCTCCCTCTCCTATCTTTCTTCTTTTTCTCCCCTTTCTTTTCCTCGTACCCTCTCCCAACTTTCTCTTCTTCTCGTTATCTCCTTCCCCCACCGTCTTTCTTTTTCCGCATTGTCCCTTCCTCTAGTGTCTTCCCTGCCTATTCTTCCCCTGGTTTCTGTTTTCTCTCTCTCTTTTCTTTCCGCTCTTTTTCTTTCTTTTCCGGCCCGTTTCAGAGGCTGAACTGGGTTTTGGCCATAGGCGAGCTCCCCGGGTTCTTCTTTTTTTTAAGTAAGCTACATTCTTCTCTCAATTTCACCTCACGCTACCTACCTACCACTACTCCTAATTATAGTCATACGGGAACCCCGTAGCAGCCAGAACCGTGTTCTCGAGAGAACATGCGGGGGCTACTCGCGACCTGCAGGTGGGCGATACCGGCCAGGGACAGCCGGTAGCATCACGGACCATGCCAACAGGACGAATCCCGGTGCCTCTCCTCACGTCCCCTCCCCTACGAACATCAGCAGACTCTGCTCGATGCCGATCGGGGGATCCAGTGGTCTTATCTCTAGGTGGCGGGCGCCAAGCACGACCAGGAAGGTACATGAGGCCAATGGAGATTGAACCCACGACCTCCTGAATGCCAGTTGCGAGCCCTACCGCTGAGTTCCCCGGGTTCTGCTGCGGCAGACCGCGTGTTGTGTTTGAGTGCTGGAGTTGACTTCGTCCTAACAGTGGCTTGCGTCCTGGTATTGACTGACGTCATGGCGTTGATTTTGTCCTGGCGCTGTTTTTTGTCCTGCCGTTGACTTTCGTCTTGCCGCTGGTTGTCTTGACGTTGGCTTTGTCGCCCGGGCGTTGAATTTTCCCCGATGGCGTTGGACGTTTGCACGGTCGTTGACTTTCGTCCGAGCGTTGACCCTTGTCTGGGCGTTGACTTTCGTCACAAATGCGAGCTTTCTGTCCTGGTGGAGATTGTCACGCTGGCGTTGAATCGCTGAGGAAGATTTTCCGACTCCAGGTCCAGTCTAACCAATGGAACGTGGTTTTAGATAGTGACTCTGAATGCAGCAGAAAGTGAATGACGATGTGGCTTGCAAAGTTTTTGATCCGCTTTTAAAAACTGTGACCGTCCTTTTTATGTTTATTTTCGCATTGGGGTTTTCAGATGCGGGGTGCCTTCTCAGGCTTTACCAGATTGTCGAAAGGCATTGCAGCTGTTCTCGTTGCTGGATACGTCTGTACGGCCTTGGTGCCACAAACGCGGGAGTTCGTCGCGTTGGTTCCTGTCAGGTGAGAGCCAACAGGTGGTGTGAAGGGGGGGAAGGGAGAATATATTGGCTTGGAAAAGGGGATGGTGTGGGGATTACGTGTGTGTGTGTGTGTGTGTGTGTGTGTGTGTGTGTGTGTGTGTGTGTGNGAGAGAGAGAGAGAGAGAGAGAGAGAGAGAGAGAGAGAGAGAGAGAGAGAGAGAGAGAGAGAGAGAGATGCTGGTTCTGGGAGATGAGATGGGTGGAAAGTTGCGAAAGTGTGGAATGTACGAATGAGGAGTTCATACGGTGACTCGAACGGTTGCCGCAAAAATAAGAAATAAAATTAGACACATTGTGGAATCACCGAAAGTAGAGCATGGAGATGTTGAAAGGAAGTAGAGTAAGATGAGCTTTTGGAGAAAGGGAGAAAAATGGAATGCGAGAGCATTTCTGGATGCATCTGACCGCAACTGCGTCCAGAGATTAGTCGACTTCTGGCATCATCGAAAGTAGAGCATGGTGATGTCGAAAGGAAGGACAGTAAGACGAACTTTGGGAGGAAAGGGAGAAAAAGGGAATGCAAGAGCATTTCTGGATGCATCTGACCTTAATTGCGTCTAGAGATTAGTCTAAAAGGTCTAGTGTGAGTACGCCCGGAGCCACCCACCCATTGGGTTTTGCTCCACCTCTCACCATCTGGTGCAGTTTCCCGTGTTCTAGCGGAAGATTCATCCTCATTTTGCACATTTGGGGAGTGGTGGAGCGAGGCCCATTGTGAGATGCATTAGCAGATGATGCATACCTGCAAAGCAGTCATGCACACATAATTAACCCAAAATATATCGCCCCAAAGTTGATGATGGAAGCTCTCTAATCGCAACCAAAACCCCCAGGGACGCTCACATTTACCGACAGTCGCAAAACACGATCAGCAGGCAGCACGACGGGCTGCTAAAGAGAATTCTGCTGTTATCATCACCAGCGCCATCATCTACTGTTAGAAATCTACTGCTAGCAAGGGCAGGATCCGCTACTACCACCGTGTGGCCTGGACTGAAAGTTGCCCCAAAGTCAGCTATAGTAACCACACGTTCTATTTGGGGGGGAAGACAGTAGGCAACAGTCAGCCATAATAGCAGCAATTGGCGGCAGCAACAGCAGAAGCAAACAGCAGCAATAGACAGAGGAGCGGTATCAAAACCTAGTCTAGGAAATGGCTGGTATCAAAACCTACTCTAGGAAATGGCTGCTGTACCAAAACCTGCTGTCAGAAGTCTGTATCTACATTGAAAATTGGCCCAAATTCAGCTGTAGTTGCCACACGTTCTCTTCCGGGGGGAAGACAGTAGACAACAGTCAGCCACAATAGCAGCAATTCGCGGCATCAACAGCAACAGCAAACAATAGCAACAGACAGGTGTGTGGTAGCAAAACCTTCTGCGAGAAACGGCTGATGCATCAAAACCTACTGCCAGACACTGACGGTGGACCGGGCTGTGGCCTGCCCATCACAGTCTGGTGCCGACTGTACGGTGTAGCACGGTGTTATGTGAGGAAGTTAGCCGAGCTGACTTTCATAGATGTTCTGACAGTAGTTGCTGAGAGGGCAGACTCACATGTACAAGTGCTGTCTCTGTTGAGTTTTATCGTGACTGATGGGACGCTGCACTACTGAGCCCTTCTGCGGGATTCCGCCAGCGCACAGTTTGATTGGGCTCGATGTGTATGCCACAAGATCACTTGTTCTTCCACGTGCAGCGGGCACGTACGCTGCTATTGTGCTGAGTATTTGGAGGGATCCTGCTTGTATTAAAAAAATGACAATGCATTTCTATTACGTCATGAACTTATGGCCTGGATCATACTCGCATGGTCACTTTTTTAGTTGAACCTGTCTGTCCATGCAGCCATATTCAGGTCTTTGCATTTCTCCCTCTCTGGTATTGATATTCTCAGTGTGCTGCAGCAATCCCATCATGCCTGCCAAAGCTGTTCCTGAGCACACAATGAGCATCGTTTAGTGGTGACATGTTGAGTGGAGTGCTCACTTTTTTCTTTCCCTCCCTTTATTTCGACAACTTCAATGACTTGGTTGGATTTGCGGCCGTGTGGTTTGTCGTCGTTGCAGGACCATACCTTTTGGCTGGAACCTAATTACTGCAGGTGTCTTAGAGACTTCACTCATAAATGTAAGAAGCTGTGAATCTGTGCTTCACTCGCAAAATGACCCTTTGCTGCTGAAACACATTGCTGCAGTACCTTTTACATTATGACCTTTTATTTCTCTATCTCTGCATTGGCGAAACTTCTGGGGTTCCATATTTGCTGTGCAAATGTCCTTGAGAGCAGGAAGATGTCTGACCCAGAAACAAAAAAAAGAGGCAGAAAACTACATTGGTGCAAGCAAAGCATTAAATTGGGATCCAAGAAAAAGAAAAGTTTGGGGAAAGCAGTTACAACTTGCCCCATACAGTTTTTTGTTTTTGCAAAGTGCGTTCTTTTAGTTGATAGGTTTGTGACAATATATGTACCAGTCTTACATCTAAGAAGACTCACATAAGCAGACTCACATAGCAGACTCGCATAGAGTCACATAGAGTCACATGGAGCGAAGAGTCACATAGAGCAGTGACATAGGCGAGTGACGTAGACAAGGGACAAGGAAGAGGTGAGTTGCATGCAAACGTTACATACAAGAGGTGCATACAATAGCAAGAGGTGCATACAATAGTAGCACGAGCGGTATGGTATCTAGATGCAGAGAAACTGGCAGAAGTCGAGAACACAGTAGTACTGGCCAACATTGCTTTGCACGGAATGGAAGTGCTGGCCCAATCAGCATTCCGCCTGAGGACTCGACAGCAGCACCTGGAAGTGCTGGCCCGCCTGAGGACTCGACAGCCCCGCCTGAGGACTCAACAGCAGCACGGAATGGAAGTGCTGGCCAACATTGCATTGCACGGAATGGAAGTGCTGGCCAACATTGCATTGCAGCATTCTGCCTGAGGACTCGACAGCAGCACGGAATGGAAGTGCTGGCCAACATTGCATTGCACGGAATGGAAGTGCAGCCCCACCTGAGGACTCAACAGCAGCACCTGGAAGTGCTGGCCCAATCAACATTCCGATCTCCGGTCTAGCAGCTAGAACTCCTATAATGGGTCAAGACAAAGCTTTTAATCTGTCAATCCCTGCTATGTCTGAACCCGGTGAGTTTCTAAAACCGTCGTGCACCACCACCCATAGAGTCAAGAGGCCGCCATCAGCCTACCGTTTCCTCACCGCACAACAGATGTAGTAGACTTGCTGCAGACTCCACAACTTCGCGAGTCCTTCATCAGGTAAGTGCTCCCTCTTTCTCTACCCCTGGCGTTCCTCACTCCTCCAAACCGCTTGTCTTGAAACTTCAACCGCTTTCGCTTTGCCCAGCTATTAAGAGGTCGGGGAATGAGCATGGCTCGTCGGAGATGGTCACGACCTTCAAAGGCAGAGCAACTCGTTGTTGGGACAAAGGTTCTGAGCAAGATGGAGTTTGCGGCCCAGCCAACGAACACCATACGGAGGAACAGTCTGCAAGCGGGGTGCAGATCAAGATGCACATACCGATGATGACCACGAATGGCAGCACTATACCTCCTCACCAAATGAAGAAAATGTACCTTCCTCTAATGAGTGGAGAGATTCATTGACATTCCAAAAACTGACTTTTTTTTTGGAATTTGGTAAGATGCAGGCTAAGTTCTGCAAATGAATCCTCCCCTAAAACAGAAACGGGTACGTGTCGAGATAATCACCCGTTATAGTACGCAAATTGAGAATGAAACTCCCTCGAGAATATGGGAGGATGCATACCAATAAGCACTCCTTTCTTCTCTCTCTCTCTCTCTCTCTCTCTCTCTCTCTCTCTCTCTCTCTCTCTCTCTCTCTCTCTCTTTCTGCGCGCGCGTGTGTGTGTGTGTGTGTGTGTGTGTGTGTGTGTGTGTGTGTGTGTGTGTGTGTGTGTGTGTGTGTGTGTGTATTCTTGCGGTGTAATGCGCACTATGAGTCGAACTCGGCCCGATCTGCACGAAATCTCTCAGAATTCTTCGCCTCTGTACTTGGCAGTATAGCTCCATCGGTCGTTGGTGGCTACCAGTGCATGCTAACCTTACTACGACTGTAACTTCCGCAGCTATGGCGCTACGGTTAGCAGACACAAACGATGATGTATTCGTACCCGTCAATTCTCTTCCTCATCGTTCTTCCAAGGGATCGGCTCCCTCGAGCTTCATCGGCGGTCAAAATTCACCATGCCAAGAAAGATCGTGAAGCATGCCACACTCATCATTCAATCCGGATAAGCTGCCACTCAATTCCTTCGCAGGTAACAACCTCTCTCTCTCTCTCTCCCTTCAAGTTCTTTCACCTTGCCCTTTCTTCGTTCGATCTTCAATGCTCAACTGTTCACTCTAGATCTACAAAGAGCTCTCGACCCTGCCCCTTCTATCCGCTAAATGGACGGATCTTCCTAGGCGCATCCTGAGACTTCCCTTGCTCTCTGAAACATGGGGGTAAAAGAGGCCACCAGATACATACCGTGCCATTTAGCGCACAACCTCCACCATGTGGAAGGACGAAGAGGAGGGACAGCACCAGACATGTCTGTCGTGATGCTCCGTGCTATATCGTATCGAGCACCACGAGAGGAAGGTCTGCACCATGTATAATCAATCGATTGCGACGCTCATCATCAGTATGGCCAGGTCAAGAAGAGCGTCAGGACTTCCTCCTCCTCCTCTCTCTCTCTCTCTCTCTCTCTTGTCCCCCCCTCTCTCTCTCTTTCTCTCTCTCTCGCTCCCCCTCTCTCTCTCTCTCTATCCATCTATCTCTCGCGTCCTCCTCTCTCTCTCTCTCTCTCTCTCTCTCTCTCTCTCTCTCTCGTCCTCTCTCTCTCTCACGCGTCCCCCTCCTCTCTCCCTCTCTCTCTCTCTCTCTTGTCCTCCTCTCTCTGTCTCTCTGTCTCTCTCTCTCTCTGTCTCACACACACGTCCTCCTCCTTTCTCTCTCTCTCTCACGTCCTCCTCCTCTCTCTCTCTCTCACGTCCTCCTTTCTCTCTCTCTCTCTATCTCTTTCTCTCTCGTTCGATTTTTTTTTTTTCTCTCTCTCTTTCTCTCTCTCTCTCTCTCATATCATCACTTTTTGCCTCGTCACGGTGTGAGTGCATCGGCTCTCACCTTTTCGCAAAGGTGTGGGAGCCCTCCCGGCCATGTCACGCAGGAGTAAACGAAACAAAAACAGAGACAACTTCGGAACGACGTAAAATAATCCTGCGAACTGCCAAGACGGCCGAGGTCGTGTCGCTCCTTCGCCGCTCTAGCCGGGGTCGCCAACTGTACATCCCGCGGTCCCCTATGACAGGATAGGTTCCCGCGGGCCATAAACTTTCATTCCTTAAGGGGCTGTTACCACCCTTAGGGGCATATCCCCTACCGAGCTACTGACCCACGTGAGAAAGCTTTTAGATGCAATTGCAGAGGTAGGTCAGCCGAGGGCGTTTGCTCGTTCGTTGTGGTATAGATACGCTTGGTTAACACCAAGCGGACCCGAGCGTTGTCCGTTCCTAGGGCGCTGATCTCCTAGGTACGAAGCAAACGTCGGTCGATTAGGTTGGTCTCAACCAAGCGTGAAACCTGACGTTGATCCTGGTCCCTTTAGACGCACGATTAAAAGAAAGTTACAATATCCATAAATAATTACATCAAAAGAAATCGACCATAGTCGATAGAAACAAATCCAATCTGAAATGATAACTAAAAAAAATTGAATCATCATAAAATATATTTAATAACACAAGTTCAAAATAAATCCGACCATCCCGGGTTGAACTCTACAAAACAATCATACAACCGCCAACGAGGAGTTGGCTACAAACAATAACATAGATGCAACCGACAAGGTAGTCGGACTGCCTTAGTTTTGACTTGATGAGACATGTTGCCAATGTCATTTCTAACCTACCGCCAACCTAAGATTATACACGCTCACACCTGTCTCCATACTTTCTCAATCTTATTGGATGAAAGGCTGCGTTGCGAATGATTCTTGATCAGGGGCATTGCTTGAAGTGTTGCATGCCTCTCCGTCTCGGAAGTGGGCTGAGGTACTCTTCCTCCTCGCCCGAGCACACAACTCGGATTTTAGAAGTCGGGCCGTCTCCACCGAATTGGCAAAGTACCCCCCCCCCGTAGAAGTGGCCCACTTTGAGTCGATAATAGGGCCGACTCCTGAGGCAACGAACCCCCGCCCCAAGTAGCTTTCAATTATTCTCATCTCCTGAGTCCTAGGTAAGTGGGACAAAAAGAAATCAGAAGAGATAAAAACTGAGAATCATTTAGACAGGAAAAGGTAGATAAGGTCATTCGGGGTAGAAAGGGTCATTCCTTGGGAGAAGACTAAGTCTGTTTGACCTGATTTCGCTTTATTTGAATTGAATTCATTTTATGACACTCACTGAATTTATCTTTTTCAAAATAACAATTTTCACTTTCACAAGCAGGCAGGTGGAAGGTACAAAGAGGATAATCCTCTTCTTTATCTCAAATAGGCATAATCAATCTCCTTTGCAAACATCGTTCTACCTACCTGCAGAACATGCACAGACAACAAGTTCAAGAGAAAACCAGTGCAATACTATACTCAAGTCGGACTTCTTCATTCACAGGCACGACTCACACTACTTTCCTCTACCTTTTCTTTTGGACATTCAAAATGAATAGGGTCGAGCAAAGTGCGGGTTCACACATGTGTGAAAGGAAGTCTGAGTCATTCAACTGACCTTGAGTGAAATTTGAATCGGCCCACTCAAGAAAGCCGAATAACATATTAATCGAGGGAAAATGACCGCTGTAGAAAAATATGCGGCACACAACTCAACAAGTTATGGCCTTTTCCCTGAATCACGGTCCGCGCCCTTTTCCAAGTGCTTTATCTCACCAAGGTTGGGTCCACTGAGATATCGAAATGAAATAACTCTTTAAGAGGGCGCTCCCATGATCCAATCTCATGTGGCCTTACATCCCAACAGTCTCAACGCAGTCCCTACTGCACCACATCCTTCAAGGACACTCCCCAACCAACCGCTAGTCCATGCCGTCTCAAATCCATCCTGTCCGCATCCAAAGGAGGCCCCACTCAGTCCCAAGATGGTCC